CAGAGGTGCTGAGCTGTAGATGGATGAGCACTGAAGATGGACGTGCAGAGGAACAGTTTGAGACAGACAGGTCTACAGAGATGTTGATGTCTCCGGGGACTGTCCCTGCAGAGCCGCCAAAGGGCAGCACTGCAGGCACCAAGCTTCATGCTGCAGGTGGAGAGAGAAGGGAGCAGGGAAGGGAAAATCAACGCATCTTCATTTGTTAGAGGAAAATCCAAAGAATAGCTTCACTGGACCTGCAGTGCCAGGAAGAGATGGAGGTTCCATCTGTGCAGATGGAAGAGGGAACAAGGAAGAGGGGTGTCACCATCCAGGGAGGGTTGGACAGGAAGGGTAACATCAGGATGGCAGTGCTGATGAAGGGTGACACTCAGTGTGAGAATAATGAGAGGAATGGAGGGAGGATGGAGCAACGGGGATTGCAGCACCCATGGTGGAGATAAAAAGCTGGTCTGCTTTTGGTGTTGAAATGGGGCACTCTCCAACCCACAGCATGAAGAGCACCTGTGCCAGGGTCCGCGCATTCAGCAGTGATTAGCCCCAGGGAGCCCACAGGGGACAGGGCTGTCAGCAAGAGCTCAGCACCAGGTAGGGATGAGAAGTTTGGGAGGAGAGAGTAGAGGCAGGCACAGACGGAAAAGGACACATGATGCTTAGAAGGTCTGTAGTACCAGAAGACCATCCATCCTTTGGGAGACGCAGGCTTAGAAATCCCTGAGTCTGCAGAGAAGCAAAACACTTGTGGCAGTGCCCCAAAGCCAGGATTAATGACAGGAACGTGCTCCAAGACGGAGGCTTTGGGATTTGGACGCTGAGAAGACGGAGCTGGGCGTGTTGCTCCGGCAGAGGATGGCTGTGAGGTGTCGGTGGGATAAGATAAGGCAGCGTGAGTCACTGCTGCGTCACGCTGGGTATTTCCACTAAGCCGGAAGCATTTGCACCAGGGCTTGGAGCACCTCTGGATGCACACGTGTGTGCACAGCATTTCTGCACGGAAAGGACAAGGGAGAGAGACTGCACAGCGTACTGATAACATCAAACCTCTGACCACACTCCTGCTGAGGGCTCTAAATCCATCAGCACAAATACGTGATGGCTCGAGCTCAGCAAATACCACAAGCTCAGATATTTTTCACTCTGACATAATTATATCCCTTCTGGTACGCTATCATGCCCAGGAATCCAGTAACGAGGTTGCAACACCCTTGAAAGCAACCAGACCTTCCTCTCGTGTTGCACAGCGATGTTATCTCAGCTGCTACCACCCTTGAGCACAGCTGACAGCACCAGCACACGACTCGCCGGGACACGACTGCACCATGCCCGACAGCTGATGGCACCGAGACGTCCCAAAATCCCTCTGCCAAAGCACAGTGCCCAGAGCTCCCACTGAGCAAGACCCGGCTGCACTGCCAGGGAGACGGCGATGGGTCTGCATCTGCACCCTGCTAATGAGCGTACCTCCAACCTTTGCCAAAACCCTCCAACCACCCACCCAAATGATGACCCCAACATTGCAATGGCCAAGAATGATCCCTTTTACCCTACGTCATCCCCCAGAGACCACTAGTCCCGACCCAGCTGGCCACCTCCATCATGGTGTAACCTTCCCTGGGCATGGCCAGCACCTCTTCACCACACCACAAGATGCAGATGCACCCTTCATTGCCACATGGACATGACCACAGCCCTCTCTGTGGCCCCAGGGCTTAACCACCGGCTGTAACACAGCTGTGGGTATGCCCAGAGCAGGAGAGAGCATGCATCCACAAGACTACATGAGCTCCTCCACTGCAGCCAAGGCCCAGCTCATCTCCACATCAGAAGCACATCCCCAGGTCGTACTCACTTCATGTTCTCCACGGAGCGCCCCCGAAGAGCCACAAAGGGGGACAGGAGGGTGGACATGGCCACAATCCAGCCGTTGAAGAAGGCCACCCTGCAGAAGTAGTGGAAGGTGGCATTGTACCAGTAAAGCAGCAGGGCTGCCAAGGGGAGGAGGAGCAGCAGCCCATGGAGCAGGACCACCTCCATCGTGCTGCCCCGGCAGGAGGATGCTGGGGAGCTCAGTCTGCGTCCCCAGGAGCAGGGCGAGTGGAGCAGGGGATGCTGAGGAGCGTGGCAGGTGAATCAGGTGTATCAGCAGAGCAGCGCGTGGGTGTTTGGGGCTGGTCCCGGGGAAGGTGCTGTGTGTATCACCCTGTACAGAGGCTTGACGATGGACTGGCTCAGATGGGAGGCAGGCTACCCCACCAAGGGTGGAGAGTGGTGGTGAGTCAACACCGGGGACCCTGGGTTACCCAAGGTGTCACAGCTGATAAGTGCCCTCCTGGGCTGTTAAAAGGCATTGCAGTGCCTCTGACTTGATGTGACCTGCTGCCCACAAAAGTGTTCATGCTCTGGGCACCTCTCCTGGCCACAGGGACCCCAGCCCTGGGAAAGGGGGATCTCAGCTGGTAGGGACAGCAGGAGCTGGTTCCTGTCCGTGCCCATTACCCCAGCAAGGCTTGTTGCAGATCCCTGTTGGCATTGTGGCCAATCCCCAAACCTCACCCTGCAGAGTATCAGATTATTGGAAAATATCTCCCTGCAGCTCCCTGCCTGGGTCTGCAGCAGGCACACGGTGCCAGTGCTCCCCATCTCTCTGGTCCCCCCAATTTGGGCTGCAGGAGCCTCTCTGCCCTTTCTCTCGCAAGGCCCAGCATCTGTCACCAAGGTCCAAGCAACATCACAGGGGTCTGAGCCCTGCCATCCCCCGCTCCCACCCTGGGCTGAAGGAGATGCCAGCCCTTGCCCCAGTTGGCAGCCAGAGGCTGCATTGCGTTAGGTGTTTACATAGGTGCAATTAGCATGCACAGGGCTGTAATTAGCCTCTCTCTATGCTCTGTTGCTTTCACACTTGGGGACGCAGGTTCCAGGCCAGCTCTGAGGTGCCTTGTGGAAACTCTAGTCTTGCCTTTAAAAAGCAAGTGCTTGTCACTGCAAAGATAACTCTGGACGCAGCCACCAGCAGCATCTCCCAGCCTGGCTGTTCCATGTCCCGAGCACGTGTCCCAAGTGCTGCTGTCCAGACCCATCAGTTCATCTGTGACCCTTGGGTAGGAGCCTGGAAGCAGAGAGCTCCGCTCGTGCCTTCCCATAACACCACCACCAGGGCTCTGGGGCAAGCAGTCCCGTCACACCATGCTGGGGAGAGGCACTGCACCCCCTGGGCCAAACCCAGCAATTGTCCTCTCATCTGACACAGCCTACCTTCAGCAAAACCACTCTGCATCTCTCCCACTCCCTCCATGCCCATGGCTGCTCCTTCCACCCACACCTTCTCCCATCCCTGCTGATGTGGGTACAAGCAGATGCCTTTGCCCCCCGGCTGTGCGATGTTCTCTATGCTGCCAGCTGAAGGGTGCCCCAGTTCAACCAGCGTGACCCAGAGAGGGCCCCAAGGGTTGCTTCCACCATGGGTGTTGCAGTCTCCATTGCTTCATCCTCCCATTCCACTCATCATTCTCATATTCAAGCTAAGATTGGGCCATATCTTGAGCCCACCCTTCCTGTCCACCCCATCCCCAGGTGACTCCTATTTTTCTCTTCCCTTTCTGTCTATACAGATATGGAAACCTTCAAGCACCAGCCTGGTTTCCCAATAAACTCAGCTCAGCTTTTGGATGGTCTCCTTCACTTCTGCTCTGCCCAGCCAGTTTCACAGCCTCTCGAGGTGCTCGCAGCTGGAGATGCGCCCTCCTGCCACAACCCAACGTGGCTCTTTCGCTCCACATTGAGGAGCTTCCTCTCCAGATTCAGCAGGCGCCCGGCTGAGCTTTGCTGCAGGGGCAGATCTGCCTGTGCCAGAGCACAGCCCAGTCCTGGGCTCAGGGAGGATGAGCCCTCATTTCTATAGGGACCCCAGAAGAGAGAAAGGGCAGTCCTCATGCCTGATGGGGACAGAAGGAGGGGATTTAAGGTACAGCTGCCTGGGCACCATCTTTCCGCATGCTCTGAGCTCTTCACCAGCCCTGAAGTCTCCTGCTAGGAGCTCTGCTCTTAAGGCAAACCCTTCTGATAACTGGCCTGTAACCCCAGCGGGGTCAGAGCAGGGCTGTCACCCCCAAGCAAGGTTGGGAAAGTAGCAGAGGCAAAGGACAGCTTCCAGCATCTGCCCCTTTTGTCCTGGTGAGCAAAGGGGACACCGAGTCCTAGGGAATCTCATGCTCCATCCCCTTTATCAAGCTGCTGCCCTGAGCACATCCCCACCAGGAATGAGCTGCAGGCCAGACCCAGCCCTCCCCAGGCTGCAGCCAGAAGCATCCCACCCTGCTTCCCAGCACCAACCACCAGCAACTCCCTAAATTGTCCCAGCACCCGCATCAGGCACTGATATACTGTGCGTGCGCACACACCCTCCGGTGCAAAAGGCTCCCACCCCTCCCACCCCCCAGCTTGGAGGGAGCCCTGCATTCAGGCACTAAGCCAGCAGTCTGGGTAATTACAGATGCTTAATTAGTGACAGCAGGGTGCTTTCTTAACAAAGGAAATTAATTACAGGCAATGTGCTGCATTGAGATCTGAAGGGACTAATGAAGACCAGGACCACCTGGGCTGGCATTACCCCCCCACACCCCATCCACCCATGGGGACACAGCACAGCTCGTGCTGCAGAGTCCTCATGGCCTGGCAGAGACACATTGTCCAGCCAGGACTGGGATGTCACGCCTGGGGATAAGCCCTCTGCAGAGCACGGAGATACAGCCTGTCCCTGTTTGGGGTCACGCTGTCACCTGGGGTTTGGTGACAGGCTTCGTGACACCCCCTGCATTAGGGTGGCGTGCGGGGAGGAAGCCAACGTGCCCAAAGTGCATTTTGCTGGGCACATTTGCTTCCTCCCCGCATGCCACCCCAAAACTATGGGTATCATGGAGCACCCATGCTCAGCAGCTGCAGGATCTTCTGGGGTCGAGGGGTGAGACGTGCAGGAGAAACCATCTTGAGAAGCATGGAGCTCACAGCCTCCCCTCCACCACGTCATAGTACTCTGCGGAAAGAAAAGGGGAGCTGGAGGATGTGCAAGGGCCGTCCCTGGGATCCGATGGATGGAGGGACTGGGGGGAGCTCAGCCCTTAACTGGGAACTGCCAGACACGTGGGGAGGTTGATGCATGTTTGCGGGCGAGATGTCCCCCATTGAGGGATATGAGGAGAACGTGTCCTTACCTGATGCTGGTGGGACATCGCCTCCCACGGTCCCTGTGGCGCTGGGGGGTGGAGGGGGGGGCACCGCACTGCTGGAGAGGAGCAAGGACAGGGGTAAGTGCTGGCCTGGTGTTGTTCTTTGTGTCCCAGCTTGGGCTGGAAGTCCTGTTACACCAAGGGACACACAGCCCCACACTAGGTGACAAAGCAGCACCCTCGTTACTCACACCTCCCCATCCTCGACTAACAAGCCTGTGCCCAGGTACCGCACGGCGGCCGGTCCCCGCTCCTCAACGCCAGCATAGGAGCAGGACCAGGGTAGGGGACGTAGTGATGGTGGAAAACCACAGCCTCCTCTTCTTCTCCAGTCTGCAAAGGCACTGCTGTTGCCTATGGGGAAGAACAAAAGGCAGGGCTGTGCCAGGCCCCTTTCGGCAGCCATCTCCCTGGGGCACTGCTCCCCTAAGCACCAACGAGAGGGTTCCCATAGAGCCATGCTTGGCTGTGATGCCGCCGGCAAGGCGCCACTCACCCCAG